TGTGCAAATATCCTTCTGATGATAGTGTTGATCGTGCAATATCCATATACAATGTGGGTTTTCTTCTGTCTGTTTCGATTTCTTATTTCCTTGTAGATTATAATTGACATCAGGAGGCATTCTTTTATATCGGGGACAAATTTATGTGTTGTTTCGGTATCGTAATTGTATCTTCAATGAAAATAAATTGACTATAGTGCATCATATGGGCCGTTTAGAAGCCTTTATGTAGGAACTTAATTGATTTTAGGAAATGCTCGGTAAGAAGCAAATTCCTTCAGTTGAAGCATTCAACGGCCTGATTCGTACGGCTCGTTCTTTTAAAGAAGCGAAAGTTTATTTGAAGCAAATGGTCGTATTACGAGTGAAACCAACAATTGCCATATTCAACAGTTTGTTGGAAAAAGTTGTTGAGGTGGGACTTTGAAACATTTGAATACGAATTCTGACTTGATCGCATTTTGTCAGTATCTCTGATTACAGGATGAAAGGATGCAAAAACAACAACCATCTCAAGCGTCAATGATTTTACGTGAAGCAATCGCAGCCCAGTGTGAGCCATCGTTGCGAACCTTCTCACTGATTCTAAAAAGTGTTGAAGGCGATGAAAAACCCGAAAAGGTTAGAAGTTTTTTTTTTCGGATTTCGTTTCATTTCTAGACGTTACTTTCATCAGATGACAAGTGATGAGATTGATGTATTCGTCCACCTTTGTATGGTCAAGTGTCCGAAGGGATTCGTATTGCTGGTTTTTATTTCATTCATTAATTTGTTTCAATTGAATTCGATTCAATTTTGAGTAATCCGCAATCAAAAATATTGTATACAGGAGGTGCAGACACTTTTGTAAACAAACTACATATTTTGAAGCACTCCGGGCCAACAAAACTGCTGATGAATTAATGATGATGGTCTTGTGAATGCCGTTCTAAATTCTAGGAATTAGCATTGGCTTATCTTGAACAAATATTGAGTCAGCTGGAGACTCGTAAGAGTATAGAAGTTATCGAGCGTGGTGATCAGTATTTCTTTGTGGATGCAATGAGTTTGGCAACGTCGGCGAACAATCGAAGAATAGCTGATCGAATTGAGGCGTTGTATCAGAACGGAAAGAATAATGCGCACTTACCAGCGTTCACCGATGAAAGCTTGTGAGTTTTAATGAACTTCCAGTTGATTTGTCTTCAAATATAACTCAAATTCTTCCATCATAACATGTCATCACTTGAAGATTCTATTCTCAATATTTGATGCTTCTGATCAGACATCTACCAATAGAAGAGTTAGACAGTCGATATCGAGCGTTAGTGCCTCGAATAGTTGGTGTTACTCGAGCGCTAACAATGGCTATGATCCGCAAACTTCAGGTATTGGCTTTTTGTTTTCCATTACGATGAAAGTTAGGGAATTAGCTGGCCGAAACATCCAGTCTTCTGCCAATTTTCTACTCGAATTTTTGCTTTAGATTACGCCAAAATGGTCACTTTTGCGCCGTGTTATTGAGGATGGTATTGCCGCAAGACATATGACAGATATGAGGATCAGTTCACAAATGCGTTCCATTCTCCTGTCGTTGAAACTTCAAGTATGTTCGGTTGAGTTGTTTCGATTTTGAAAGAGTAATCGTTGAGAATGGAATATAATGTAATCTGATTTTGTTGTTTGTTGCTCGAAGTAGTATTGTCTTGTTGATTTGTGGTGCGTACGTAATTTGACGGTGATATATGCTGTCAGCTGCGAGATATGATGATGTGTATTGTGTGAGGAATGAACTTTGTGAACATTGTTTCCATGTGATGTGCTGTTTATTGAAGGACTTGTCGGTGGAAGAACGAGAAGAATGTGCCGATCTGATCAGACGTATGGTTGATATTTGGATTGAATATAGCAATTTTACGACAACACCAAGCGCGTTGCGTCTACAACAGAAACTGACACCATCTGCTGTAAGTAATACTCCATTTTCATGTTATTCAAGTGAACTTCGAGTTGTTCTTATTGGTTTTAATTCTCTAAATAAGGTTGTTCTCGTCGAAGAAGCTTGATATCAATGTATCGTTTTTAGATATCAGAATGCTCAATGTTGCTGATAAAAATTGGTGATCGCGAACGAGGTTGGGATCTTCTGAAGATGCTATTGAATGAAGAAGCGCGATCCGGTGAAACACCTACTGTCACAGAATTCGGTATAAATTTCTGAAGCTTTCTTCCAGTTTCTTTTCGCGAAATTATTTATGTGGATGCTAGAAAATAATTGATGCTTGTTTGGTGGAGTTTTCTGTAATGTGTTATAAGCGATTTAACGGTTGTGTGCTGTTGAAGGTTATCCTCAGCCAGCGATAATGCGAGCTTTGATGGATGAGGCATTGCAAAACGGTGATTGGTTCAANGCAAGTAACTGTTTGAATATTATCGCGATGTATTCCCCACAAACTCGACTCGAACCTATTGTTGAGCAAATCGAGCAACGATGCAAACTGACGACTCTACAAAAACGAATTCTCAATAATTTCGTTCGATTGCGACAATGATTTATCGTACGGATGCGAATCTGTGATCGTTAGCGTATAGCAGTGACTAGTTTTAGGATTTTGTTTGATTTGATACTTTTAAATGTTTATTTGTTCTTGTCGAATATATTGTAATGGCTGTTTATCTCACTCATCGTTGAAGGTTTTGTGTTTTGTGGTGAATTTTTTGTTGAATTGCATATTATTAGGGAAGAGTTGAGGTGTCGTATCGACCGCTGGTTTTTTTTTGTTTCGTGGGTGTTTACAATTTTTGTCATTCCCACTGTGCTCTTATATTAAGAACTTGTGCTTTTATATGAAGAATATCTTTCAAGAGCGAAATTGAAGGAAGTGATCCAGTGGAACTTTATGCACACCTTGTTGTATTTTAATTTTTTGTAATAATAATGATACGCTGTCAAATATTTTTTAGTTATCACTGAACTACCGATGCAGTTGTTGATTTTAATTTGAAACCATTAAAATAAAAGTTTTTATGTGTTGACATGCTGCAACATCACAATTTTTCTGATTTGATGAGCATGAACGCAGTGGAATTGATTAAGAGCAACAACATTCACATGATTTTGCAACGATGAATAGTTAAGGTAATTCAAGAAGTAACTCTCCTATAATATTGAGTATTTCGCAGCAATCAATCTGCAAGACTGCATTGTACACCTGCACAGCAGTTCGATGTAAAATATATCGAAAATCATAATTTCCTACCAAACGCGTAAAGCTGACTGGTATGGCAAAGTTGCCTTTAGGTAATTGTGCGCCTGATCGTGAAAGTGCTGTAGTGGTAGGGATTCAACGTACGTCTTGTGGTTGGGAAGAGCGTTTACAACGAACGTAACATTTACTTATACAAACATGAACAATGAACAGAACAAATTATGCATCAAAAATATTAGTGAAATTAATGTGTGATAAGGGGGAATGATGTTATAACAAATAACTTGATGTGTATTACAAAACCCGGTATATTTCGATACATTCAGAAATAAGGTATAACAATTTGATAAAGAACAAATATTGCACATCGAAGGTGAATCACAAATTTCGTGAATTCACGACAATGGCGCTAAAAGGGTTACCATATTCAAAGTATTCAAGGTAACGGTACTCACTGATTTTCCCAGGAATACGTTATTTTCTGCACATTGTCAGATTCCCTGCATTTAGAAAAGTGTATATTTTGAAGGGCAATTCTGCTCACTTTCTGAGGAATAGCTGATTTTCTGAAGTTATCTCAGTTGTTTGGCTTCGCTCATTTCAATACGCTGTATCTATATTGCTTATTCATTAGTATGG